AGCTAGTTGGGAGGCTGAGGCAAGAGAATCACTTAAGCCTAAGAGTTTGAGGTTGCTGTGAGCTGGGATGCCATGGCACTCTACCGAGGGTGACACACTGAAACTGTCTCAAAAAAAAAAAAAACTGCATAACAACTTTAGTTATTTTAAAGCATACAATTCAATGGTATTTAGTACATTCACGATGGTGTACAACTACCACCTTTATCTGGTTCCAAAACATTTTCCCCATCCCAAAAGGAAACCCCATATCCATTAAGTAATCACTCCTCATTTCTTCCTCCCCACAGCCTCCAGCATTAATCTGCTTTCCGTCTATATGAATTTATTTATTTCCTACAAGTGGAATTATAATATGTGGCCATTGTGTCTGGTTTATTTGGCATGTTTTGTAAGTTCTTACTTGTACTATGTGTCAACATTTCACCCCTTTTATGGCTGAATAATATTTCACTATATGGATAAACCATTCATCTGTTGTTGGTTTGGGCTGTCTGCACCATTAAGTTGGTTGACTGCTGTGACCAGTACTCCCACAAACATTTGTTTGCTCGTTTGAGTACTTGTTTTAAATCCTTTTGGGTACCTACCGAGGAATGGAGCTCCTGGGTCATATGGTAACTCTATGTTTAACTTTTCAAGGAAGAAAGGATGTTTGAATTTTTTGAATGTGAATACCTTTAGATGTCTCTCTCTCTCCTCTCTCAGTTTCCAACTTTTCTGTTTGGTTCATTTACATCATTTTTCTGGCCCCTGAAGGCACCTGAATTTGCTATCCCCAGAAGGCTCCTTTGGCAAAAACCCCAAACAAAAAAACAACCTTAGCGCCCAATTCCGCTGCTAACTAACCAGAGACTTCAGGTAAGCTTTTCACTTCTCAAAGTACTACTTTGGCTCAGCTTCAAAAGGGGAAAATAATGCGTACCTGAGAGGAGGCAGCGATGACCAGGGGCAGATGAATCCAATAAGCTCCTTTTGAAGCTGTTCAACAGTAGAAACAGAGGCGGGCGAGGCCGGAGAAGGATGAGGAGGCGGCGGCGGCGGCGGGGATCTGTCAGCCCTCTGGAGGTTCGGCCGCGCTCAGGGCTGCAGACCCTTGGGTCTGAGCCAGCGCGCACAGGTCGGCAGCTGAGCTGGGCGCAACCAGCAAGGGGCTCGGGCTCCGGGACCTCACGGCTCCTGCAGGACCTCACGGCGAGTCGGGACTTGGCTACGAGCCCCGGGCCGGGGAGGAGCTCAGGTTGACTTGCGGGTGGGTGGAGGCGCCCAGCCCCGCCCCCCACATCCGGGGGCCGGGGCCGGGGCCGGGGCCGGGGCCGGGCTCTGGGCTTGCCGAGCGCCAGTGAGTCAGGCCGGGTTTTCCCTCCGCCTCTGGGGCAGGCGGGCGAGCGCCGCCGAGCGCTTCCCTCCCTCGCCAATCCGGCTCCGGCGCCCGCCCGCCCGCGTTTTCCCGGCGCCTGCCGCACGGCAGCTCCAATCCGGCTTGCAGTCTCGGCCGGAGCTGGCGCCTCGGAGGAGGGTTCAAATCCGCGCGAGGGAGCTGCAGCACGCGAGGGGTGCGGTTCCGCGGGCTGGCAAGCGCGACGCCAGCATGGTAAGTGGGGCGCGCGTTGGGGTCCAGGGGTCGGGCACTGGACTTGGGAGATGGAGAAGGTTGCTGAGGTCTCTTTCCGGCGTCCTTGGCCAAGCCACAGCCCCTGCTGACCTAGGCTCTGGTCTGAGTGAGAAATGGAAGGGAGTGGCAAGGTGCGGTGTGCGCCCAGGTGCCCCTACTCCTGTACACCGAGGCACCAAGGCGACGGATCAGGAACCGACCCCGACGCTCCGCTAGAGGGACAGTCGGCAAGGTTACTTCACTCTCCGCAACCCCTGCAGATGCGCTTTCCTAGGAGCAGTGCGCGGGACCCGAGCGCCACGGTTGGGTGGGGCAGGCGTCCTTGGCGCGATAGAGTCTGACCTCGGTCTCCGCCCCCCTGCTCAGCCCTCCCTGCAGGCCCCAGGGAAGGATCCGGAGGAAACGCGCCCCTACCCAGCTCCCCAGATAGCTCAAGGACCTCCCGCAGTTCTGGGGAATCCTCGCCTCCACTTCTGCCTACCTGGGGGCAATTCTGTAGGGATGCCGATCTCATCTGCCCGGCCGCCTCTTTTCCCCACTAGACCTCCCGCCTGTCCTTCTCGCCCCACTCCACTCCTTTCCTCTCCCAACCTCCTGCTCGGTCTGAGCTGCAGCTGAGGACAGGAGACATTCCCAGATCTTGGCCACAGCCTTTAACCAAAATGAGGGCTGGCTTGGGGCCAGGCCGAAATCAGGGCCCTGGTGTTGTCCAGAAAGGGGACTGGGACTTGTCTCCCTCTAGGCACCCACCCACACCCCAACCACATAGGAACAGATCAGCCTGGGAGCAGAGGCAGCCAGCTGTCCTGGGCCCAGTGATCAGCCTCCTCCCAGAGCCCTCCCAGGCAGGGCTCCTCTACCAACTGGTTGTGTGGGTGTGTATGTGCAAGACTGTGAATGCATGCGGCCAGCCTGCTCCTGACACCGCCCCTAGAGCTGGAGCTGGCATGGGGCGCTTCCTCTCTTCCTGACCTGGGGGACAGGCAGGAGGGATTCTAGGCTCAGAGGACTGCAGTCCAAACGAGCTGGTTGCAGATTCCTTTGGGAGAAATGTGTCAAGGGCTGGGCAGACATTCATACACAGTGCCCATGGAGGGGAACCTGTGACCTTTCGCTGCGACAGCCTCCTGCAGTAGGGAGGACCTTGCCCAGGGAGTTGAGATTGCTCCTCATTGTGGGATCCAGGCCTCGGTTTCCCTGTTTGTAAATGTAGTGAGGGTAATTGTCCTGTTAGCTCCTTATAAGGCTATTCTGGAGATGAAATGAGATAATGAAAAGGAAAGGCTGAGAAAAACTGTAGAGTTCTGTGTGACTGTGAATATATAGTAATACTAAGAACCACTCTTCAAGTGTCACTATGGAAGTCAGGTATGCCAGCCCCTCTCTGGGCCCTCTAGCCCACTACCCCTTTTTCTGGAGCTAGTACATTCCAGTCCCATTCCTCAGGGGCAGCTGCAGACACACCCCAGCTGATCTCCAGCAAGTGGCAGGATCCTCCCAAGGGGCCAGCCTGGGGCAGTTGAGAATCCTGCCCCTGTGGGGGCTGGGGTGTCCCTCTCCAGAGGAGATGCAGAGTGGGGTTGGAGGAGACTTCTAAGCCTGGAGAGCCTGTGTTCTCCCAGATAGCTGCACCTCCTGGACCTCAATTTCCTCTTCTGAATTGGGGATAACAAAACTCACCTGTGTGCATTGTGAGGCAGGCACACTACTAGTAGAGCACCCACTAGCAGGCAATGAGGATGCCTCTGTGTGTTCTCTTTTTCTTTGCTTCATGGTGAGAGCAACCTGTTCTCCCTCTGCACCCAAGGATTGGTCCAAAAGAGATGGTGTTTTCAGTCTGTTGCTAGTCTTGGGGATGAGGGGAGAGCAGGAGTGAAGGGACCCTATTAAGGCCAGCTGAAACCTGTGGAGAATTTGGCTCAAGTGGCCCATCCCAGACCTAGCCAATTGGGTGGTGGTGGTGTTTTCAGCTATGTACAGGCAAGCCCGGGCACTCAGAGAAGACCCTTGGCTTCTTGCTCTGACCTACTAGTGAGGCTGTAAGGCACTTGCTGCCCCCTCCCCCAGATTCTCTTCATCCCACCCTGTGCAGCTGCCCTGGCCTGAACAGGCAGTCCCTAGGCTTCCAAGCAACAGGAAGGAATGTGTGTGTTGGGGAAGAGGGGTATGGACCCCTTTAATAAAAGGGACTATCCCCAGACTGAGACCTGGGCAGGAAGAAACCTTTTGAAAGCTAACCCCACTTGGCTCTGCTGACAATACAGTCAGAGAAGTTACTGGGAGGAACAGAGGGAGCAGGGAGGGGGCCTCAGGAAAGACCAAGGAAAGGGGCTGACGGCTCCCCCTTCTTTAAGCCTCCTAGCTGTTTGTGATCATTAGTGCCACACTGCATTCACTACTGGCCACAGGCACACATGCACAGGTCTGCGTCTAGCCTGGGACTGGGTAGGACCCTTGGGTCTTCATGGTGGGGCACTCCTGTGTTATGTCTGTGTATCCTGGAAGATACTCAGTGCTGTGTGAGTGACCTTGTACATGACTGTGTCTGCTGTTGGACATAATTGTCTGGTTTCTGTGCTGCTGGATGGGACTGACAGGTAACACACTATTGTGGCCCATGCCACCTCTAGTTCAGGAACTCTCCCCTGGACCTGAGATGCTTGGTGGAATCCTGAAATGGGAAAATGAGAATTTGTTTGCTGAGGGAAATGTGGCAGCGGAGTGGGGTGGTGTGTGTTTGAGATGATGGTGCTTTTGGCATCACTGCTGATATCCTCTCCCCTCGCTTGGTCATACAGCACTTACAGTTCACATACCCTTTTGCTGGCATGGTCTTTGATGGTCTAGCTCAGCATTTCTCAACTGTGGGTCATGACCCACAGGAACTGTATTAAACCATTGTAGCATTAAGAAGGTTGAGAACCACTGGTCTAGCTAATCCCATGAGGAAGGCAGGGCAGGCAGAGCCTTTCTCATCTTCAAGATGTGGAAGCTGAGGCATGGCAAAAGGGAGTCCAGCAGAGAGAGTGTGAGGGCGGGCTAGAGACCAGGTCTCTGGAGTCTCCTGCCCCAGAAGCACTGACAGGAATTGAGTGCACTCTTGGACAGAGCAAGGTGTGCTTTTCTTGGTGAGAAGGTGTCTGGTGGAGAGGCAGGATGATTCAATTCCAATTTTTTTGGCTATGGTGATGACATCCATCTTGTTCCCTAGCCCCCGTGACATTGGGCAGCCATGGTGCTGGGATTCCTAACAAGCTCTGTGACCTTATCTTTATTTATTTATTTTTGCAGTTAAGGTTTTTTTTTCTTTTTTTACCAGAGCTGGGTTTGAGCCCACCACCTCCAGTATATGGGGCAAGTGCCCTACTCCTGGAGCCACAGGCACCACCCTATGACCTTATCTTTAAAAACTGCTGACAGTTACAATGTCACAGTATGACACTGCTATGCAGAGCTGCATAGCCTTCAGGGCCCAGCTCCTGTGATTCCCTACCTGGATGAATCCCCTGAGCCTGTGTAGCCTGTGATGCCTATTCACGGTGGACTGGGGGACTGGGGTACACAAACTCCCCTGCCATGGCAGGGCTAGGAGGGGAGGCTGGAAAGGTTATTTTTGCCCAGGATAAGATTGTGGGCCACAGTGGTAGGCAGGGCTTGCTCTTCCTCCCCCTCCTGGAGAGCTTAGTCTTCTACAAACAAAACCTGGAAATGATGGAGGAAGATGAAACCTCCTAACGACCATTGTTTGGGGTGGGAGTGGGTGTCCCCTAAGCATAGTGAGTAGGCGGTAGGGATCACAGCTGCAATCTGTCTGCTGGGCTTCTGCTCCAGAATGGGAGCAGCTGTTTGTGGGTAAGAGACAGAGAACCCATGACATTCGTTCACTCAGCAAAACCTTTCTGAGCACCCATAATGTGCTAACCACGAGGCTGTGCACGGGGTCCCTGGGGACTAGGTGCCAGCCCCACTTTTCCAAAGCAGGGCCCAGGCCAGATGGGAGTTGATGCATCAATCTGGTCTTTCAGTGGTGGTTGTGTGTCTGATTGAGCTCAGCTTTGGCCAGCCTGTGTTGACCCTGGCATTGGGCCAGGCCTGGACTGGGAGCTTTGTCATGTTATGTCATCAATCCTTACAGCATCCCAGAGTGATAAGTGTTATCATTGCCATTGTACCCGTGAGAAAGCCAAGGCTTGATGATGATAGTGGCTTGGCTGAGGTCATGTACCAACTGGATCTGACAGAGTCCGGGTTTGGGGCCCACCCTGCCTGGTGGTGGGCTTTAGAGTAATGGTATATGTGAGGGCTGGCAGGGTCCCACCTAATCCCTTCCTCCCCCCCCTTCCCAGACTAGAACACCTGTTCCGGAAACTGGCCATTGTTGACGCCATCCTTCCTCCCCTTGGCCTTTCCTGTTTGTATCCCCCTCCTGTAGCTGCCACCCCACCCCCACCACAACCCCATGCCAGATGTTTCCCTGGAGGAGCTCTGTTTGTTTGAAGGAAGAGAGGCTGAATGGATCATCCCCACCCTACAAATGTGGGGAATATGGCAGGAGAGTAGGCAAGGTCAGGGTCAGACAGCCTAAGTCCATCTTCACTAGCCCTTTACTGAGCCTATGTCCATCTTCACTAGCCCTTTACTGAGCCTAAGTCCATCTTCACTAGCCCTTTACTGGCCCAGTCCTGTAGCTGAGGGGACTCCCCCATACCTCTCAATCATACACAGGCCCCCAGCTGGAGCACCACTGCTTTTCCTTAGACTTACTCAGACCAACAAAGTAATAGAGGGACAGGTAGCTTTGGAGCCTATACTCCTTTCTCTTGGCAGCCTAGGAATCCTGTCCTGGGATTCCTCTGGGCCAAGTGTGGGAGCTACAGAGAGCAAGCACCTGGCCATAGGGTGCCAAGGGAGCTGAACAGCAAGTGCCTGCCCACCCCTAATGGAGCCTCCAAATTCCCAGAAGCAGCTGCCTGTGCTCTGTTGAAACTTCATGGCCACAGCCCCAGACCCTGCTGACATTGCCATGGGCAGCGTGGGCAGCCTGTTGGAACGTCAGGAATTTTCCCCTGAAGAGCTACGTGCAGCACTTGCTGGGTCCCGGGGCACCCGCCAGCCTGATGGGCTCCTCCGGAAGGGCTTGGGCCAGCGTGAACTCCTCAGCTACCTGCACCTCCCCAAGAAGGATGGCAAGACCACCAAGCGGGCCCCTCGGAACGAGCCTGCTGACTATGCCACCCTCTACTACCGGGAACATCCTCGGGCTGGTGACTTCAGCAAGACTTCTCTGCCTGAGCGAGGTCGCTTTGACAAGGTGTGCCTCTGCCCACACCCTTTACCTGCAGTGGGAGATGGGCCTCCCTGGAGACCCTGATGGGGGTTGGAGTGGGGATGGGGTGGGCTGAAATATGAAAGTCCTGCTAAGGTTTGGTCACTGCCTCCTAGTGGCCTATACCCATGTTCTTAGAGAGGATCCCCCAGGGGCCTCACACCTGCCCTCTCTTCCTAGCAGTGCCGCATTCGCCCATCAGTGTTCAAGTCTGCAACAGGCAATGGGAAAGGTGTCCTGTCCATGCAGAGCCTGGCAGCCCATAAGGGCCAGAAGCTGTGGCGCAGCAATGGCAGCCTGCACACACTGGCCTGCCACCCACCCCTGAGCCCAGGGCCCTGGGCCAGCCAGGCCCGGGCACAACTGCTGCATGCCCTCAGCCTAGACGAGGGTGGCCCGGAGCCTGAGCCCAGCCTGTCTGACTCCTCTAGTGGCGGTAGTTTTGGCCGTAGCCCCGGCATTGGCCCTAGCCCCTTCAGCTCCTCTCTGGGCCATATTAACCACCTTGGTGGCTCCCTGGACCGGGCCTCAAGAAGCCCCAAGGAGGCTGGGCCATTGGCTATGCTGAGCTGCCTGCCAGAGCCACCACCCCCCTACGAGTTCTCCTGCCCCACCACTGAAGAAGTGGTGGCCATTCCGCCTGACACCTGTGAGGACCTGAAGCAAATCCTTAGCGATGAGAATGGCTCCAACCCCTTCACACAGGTGAGCAAGCCCCCACCCTGGAGTCCTATTCTGTGCCTCGGCATTGGGGTACAGTCAAGACAGAGGCCCCAGCTAGCTCATCCACATGGCTCTGGACACAAGAGTAGGAAGGTTGGGTTTCCCTCATATCCCATGTGGAGAGGGTATCATGTCCTGGTGGTTCTTGCCTAGGAGTTGTGTGGGTTAGAGGGAGAGAGGCTCCCATGGAGGGCCTTGTGTTGGGGACATTTCACCTCTGGAGGGCATCTGGGTTAGGACAGCTGTGTGGCTGGATGCTGGGCCCTGGCCTTGTGGTGTAGGGAAACAGGACCTTAGCTAAAGGAGTGGGGGCAAGGCCACATGTGTATACCTGGGCGTGACTGTGCTGGTCCTATTGGGTGCCTCTTCCCCTTGGCAGGTGCTGGAGGAGCGCCAGCGCCTGTGGCTGTCTGAGCTGAAGCGCCTGTATGTGGAGCGGCTGCATGAGGTGGCCCAGAAGGCTGAGCGTAGGGAGCGTAACCTCCAGCTGCAGCTGTTCATGGCCCAGCAGGAGCAGCGGCGCCTACGCAAGGAGCTGCAGGCTCAGCAGGGCCTGGCCCCTGAGCCTCGGCCCCCTGGCAGTTTCCCAGAGGCTGACCCCAGTGCACGACCAGAGGAGGAAGCCCAATGGGAGGTGAGAGACAACCGGGGGCTCAGAAACCTATCTCTGTTGCTGTGGTCTCATCCTTTGCCTGACCCCCTGACCAGCTCCCCTTACCCTGGTTTGCTTGTGTCTCCATTCCAGGTGTGCCAGAAGACAGCGGAGATTAGCCTCTTGAAGCAGCAGCTGCGGGAAGCCCAAGTGGAACTGACCCAGAAGCTGGCTGAGATCTTTAGTCTGAAGACGCAACTTCGGGGCAGCCGGGCACAAGCCCAGGCTCAGGATGCAGAACTGGCCCGGCTACGCCAGGCTGTGCGCAGCCTGCAAGAGCAGGCCCCTCGGGAGGAAGCCCCAGGCAGCTGTGAGACAGATGACTGTAAGAGCAGGGAGCTGCTGGGGGAGGCAGGAGGCAGCGAGGCCAGAGATAGTGCTGAGCAGCTGCGAGCTGAGCTGCTGCAAGAACGGCTCCGGGGCCAGGAGCAGGCTCTGCGCTTTGAGCAGGAACGGAGGACTTGGCAGGAGGAGAAGGAGCGTGTGCTGCGCTACCAGCGGGAGATCCAGGGGGGCTACATGGACATGTACCGCCGCAACCAGGCACTGGAGCAGGAACTGCGGGCACTGAGGGAGCCCCCCACGCCCTGGAGTCCTCGGCTGGAGTCCTCTAAGATCTGAGGCCAGCAGAGTGAGCTGACAGCAGACACACTGTCAGAGGGCACCCTGAGAGCTGGCTCAGCCCTCCCTGACACTGGTCTGGGGCGGAATCTGCAGAGGCCAGCCCAGGGCCAGGCAGGCCCATAGAGAGGAGGGATCTAGGGGGGCTGTGGGCTGGGCAGGGTGCCTGCAGCATGAGCCAGGGCAAGTCTCTCCTGGTAGAAGAGCACCCGGGTAGGGCCCAGTCCTGCTCCCTGGTATAGTTGTGGCCCAGGGCAGGAGGCTGGGGAATTGAGCCTAGTGATGCAGAAGAGCAGGCATGAAGGTATGAGGGAGGGAGGCTACAGGTCCAGGCTGAGGCTATCTCCACAGAAGGAGGCTAGGATGGGAACATTGGCCTCCCTCAGAATAAAACCGTAATTTTTACCAAGAGGCCCCAGGGAATATGTTGAGCCTGTCCCTTGTCTAATTCCAGTGGATTATAGATGAAGTTGGGGTACTGACTGAGGCTGTGGCTCGTCCTATGGTCATGGTCAGCAGCAGTGTTCCCTGTACCTATCTGTGAATCCGCTGGGCATGTGTGTTGGGTGGAGGGATCTTGCTCTTTGCCTCAGCACCACACAGTTCCTTAGCTTCTGTGTGGGCTGAAATTCCTTTCTTTAGCACCAGTGGATTTTTCAGAAGGAACAATACCAGGGAGCTCCAGAAAAATAAAAGAGCAAGTCAATCAAGGCACTTTGAGAACGTGAAATGTTTTGGTGGGAAGTCTGGACCCTGGGTGCTTAGGTCCCTGCTGGTTTGGGGGCCAGCCTAAGGCAGCCTTGGCCAGGGCATCCAAAAGCTCTAGCCCTCCTTTCCCAGACCTACCTCCATCTTTCTGTTTGGCTGTGCTGTGCCCCTCCCTCCACAGGGGTAAGGGGCCCTAGGAAGGTACAGGAGAAGAAGTGGAGAAGTTTGTAGGCACTTGGTAAGGGGCCATTACCACAGCAGGGAATAGGAACATTTCCCCATAGGCAGTGGGGCTGGGACATACTTTTAAGCAGAGATGAAATGTGATTGATTTGTATTCTGGAAAGCTCTCTCCCAGGAGGAAGCACTCTGCTTTATCCTTAACAGGTTCCAGGACTGTTAGTCATTTCTGATCCCTGCCCTCAGCTGAGGCTAGTTGCAGCTTCTCTAAAAACCACACTCACCTCTAGCCTCTCAAAGGTCTGGCTGTGTGTCTAGGCCTTTGCTCCACTCCAAAGTTGGTGGCTTGCAGCACAGACCCAGTATAGCTATGCAAGTGGTATACCCCTGCTCTGCAGGGAAGCTCAACTTCCCTATAGATATGTCATTGGACCAACTGCTATGCATTGAATATTTACTGTCTGCCAGGTGCTGTGTTGGGACCTTGTGGGCATGAGGGTACAGGTTGAATTAGATGTGCTTCCTACCCCAAGGGAGTCAGCACACATCTGTCTGCCATCTAGTCCCTTTCCTAATAGGGCAGCTGAGGGAACCTCTGAGAAGTTGACTTCAGAGAACCCTGGTCACTCCCTTTTCTCTGCATTTGGTCCTCCAGGGCCATGCCTGACAGCTCCTCAGGCCCAGGCTGAGGAGCCATTGTGCTGGGATGTGGATGGCCAGTTGTGAGCTGAGGGAGCCTACCTTCTTAGGGCAGACGGCAGGGTATGTGAGCTGTCTGCTCTGGGGATGGTATGTTTATGGCAGGTATGTGTAGAGATGTGCTTGTGGGTAGTGGGTGTGTCCTAGGGGTGTGTTTAGAACACTAGCTGTCCTCTTCCTGACAAGGGAAGGGGAGCACCCAGGGGAGGCAGATCAGTCCCACACAGGCCTTGATACCCATTCGCATTTCATGGGTCCCTTCAGAGTAAGGTCTCTGGGCCGATGGCTCCTCCAGAGGGCCCCCAGAGCTGGGTGCTGGCCTGAAATCTGGATCATGCCCTCCCCATGCCTAGGTGCTGGTCAGACTGTGTGTCCATGTACCCCCAAGTGGCTGGGGTCTACCTCAGTATACCAGCTCTGCAGAATAGTTCCCCACCCAGCAATTAGGAAGCTGTGCTTGCCAGTACAGCCAGCAAGGAAAGGGTGGGTGGTACCAAAACTTGGCAGCTGTGCCAGAAACCAAAGCCAGGCCCAGATGGAGGGGGAGGGCACAACAGCCGAACCTGGAGTGTCTCAGAGGGAACCGGATCCCTGTTAGCTCATCCATGCTGGGCAAACCAGTTCTTTGGTCCCCAAGCCGGCTGGGTGGCTCTGAGGCCAGCTGATCACAGGTGTCACTGTAGTGGCTACTGCTTCAGGGCAGCCCCACCCTCCTGCCCTCAGACTCTCTCAGCCATCCCTTTCAGCCCCCTCCAGCAGACTAGGCCCCAGAGTCCAGTTCTGTCCTGAAATGTAGCACCTTTTCTGCCTGAATCATCCTTTCTCCACTCAGATGGTGTCATACCTTCCTGCAACTCTCTGGGCCCCTTTCTTATCACTTGAGGATTCCAACACTTACCTCCAGGGTCACCAATAGTTATAACCCCTTCCATCCTCAGCAGCCCCTCCTAACCCTCTAGGCAGAGCCCCTCAGGGTGCTCAGATCTTGCCTCCTTGGGGACGCTTGCCCTGAAATCACTCCCACTGTTCCCACAGCTCCCCACTCCACCCTCACCCCCCACCCCCCATCAGAGCTTTCCACACTGCCATAATTGTTGGCTTGTGCCATCTCCTTTGAGCTGAGTGTGTTGCCAGGCCAGGCAGTGTCTTCTGTTTTCATCCCCAATCCTGTGGCTGCAGCCCCAAAAGGCACTATGGGAATGTGGAATCAAGAGTAACAGACCCCTCTCCTGGCTAGAATGGGTTTGGAGGGGTTGGGGTAAGAGGCTCCAACTCTGAATGTTTGTTCATCATTCATGGGCACCTGGTCCGTGACAGTTCTGTGCCAAGCACAGGCCCCCAGGGCCAAGTGCCATTCGTTCCACAGTTTCTATACTGAAGGCCTTCCTCAGGTTCTCCAGTGAGAAAGCCAGGGTAGCCAAGGCCTTTGGGCCCTTGCCCTTGTGGGGCTTACCTGTGGGTGGGAGAGAGAGATAACCCACATCCATGGTAGTGAACCAGAGAGTGACCAGGGCAAGGCAGGAGATGAAGGGAACAGAGAAGAATCCAGACAGCTCAGACATACAGAGCTGGGGACGATAGAGGGGCCTCCGTGGTGCTGAGCACATCAGCAGAGCACAAGGAGGGCAAAAGGGGCTTATCTGGGAGGTGAAGAATAAGTTCCTCTGAGATGGGCCTTTCTCCAAAGGGAGTAGACCCCACAGTGATGATTCAGATAACCCACCACCCTAGGGGGCAGGGGCTTAGACCTACATAATGGGTTCAGAAAAGAAAAAGAATGTGATGTTTCTTGGAGTAAAACCAAAAGTGATATATTTCACAAGGGAGGTAAAGTTGAGGGCCACTGGAGTTCAGGAGGAGAGCTAGCTCATTGGCCCAAGTGGTGGGGTGTGGGGTGAACTTCCCTGAGGAGGGGAAGGCTGGATGGCTTTCACAAAGATTGGAGGGATTTCCCAGGAGCAGCATGGGATGAAGCCATCCCAAGGTGGGCCTGGGCTTAGGCTTAGACACAGGAAGTGTGGGGCAGATCCCATAGAGGGGTTCTGCCTGGAAGAAGGTGAGGGAGGAAAGGCAGTTCCTGGACAGCCTGAAACTTTAAGTATAGGAGCCTGTGAGGCAGCTGAGGGGAAGACTAGACCAGCTTGCTTGCTTTCTTTATTATTTATTTATTTATTTATTTATTTTGAGACAGAGTCTATGTTGCCCCTGGTAGAGTGCTGTAGCGTCACAGCTCACAGCAACCTCAACCTCTTGGGCTTAAGTGATCCTCTTGCCTCAGCCTCTCAAGTAGCTGGGACTACAGGCGCCTGCCACAACGCCTGGCTCTTTTTTTGTTCCAGTTGTCATTGCTGTTTTAGCTGGCTGGGGCTGGGTTCGAACCCACCACCCTTGGTATACGGGACCCACACCCTACCCACTGAGCCACAGGCGCTGCCCATATTTATTTATTTTTGAGACAGAGTCTCACTTTGTCACTCTTGGTAGAGTGCTGTGGCATCATAGCTCACAGCAACCTCAAACTCTTGGGTTCAAGTGATCCTGTTGCCTCAGCCTCTTGAGTAGCTGGGACTACAGGTGCCCACTACAATGCCCAGCTATTTTTAGAGATGGAGTTTTGCTCCTACTCAAGCTGGTCACAAACCCATGAGCTCAGGCAATCTACCTGCTTCGGCCTCCCAGAGTATTAGGATTACAGGTGTGAGCCACTGTGCCCAGCTTTAGACCAGCTTTTTGTGTGTGTAACCTGTACAATCATGCAATGTCCCATGCTCAGAAAGGCCCTACATTTGGTGTGATGTTCTGCTCTCACCATCTTGAGCTTCTTGAGACTTTGAACAAAGGTCCTCTGTTTTCATTTTGCCCTGGGCCCTGCGAATTACATAGGTGGTCCTGGCCTGAATCAAAGACTTATAAAAGGGACAGAACAGGGAGAGGAGGCAGGAGACTTTCAGAGGTGCACCAAGGGTGGGAGAAAGATGTCAGGGTCTGAGCAGCTCCTAGGTTTGACCAGGGAAGCAGAGAGGGCAGCTATGGCTGGACGAGCCCTGGTGTTCCCAGATTCTGCAGAGGAGGGTAGGGCAGTGGCTGCATTGTCCACCGTTGCCCCACCCCCAATAGAGCTAGCAGGGATGGTCTGTCTTCTAGCTTAGCATTCCATACTGGCCCTGGAAGTCCAGGAAGCTTGTATTTTCAGGAGAACACTTGACTCTGGAAGGCTTGTCCTCTCTGTGCAAGAACTGCTATTTTTACTTTTAGGATTTTGTTTATTTGGTTTAAAGATTTATGTAGTAGGGCAGCACCTGTGGCTCAAGGAGTAGGGTGCTGGCCCTATATACCAGAGGTGGTGGGTTTAAACCTGGCCCTGGCCAAAAAACTG